TCTTGCCCACCACTCTGCACCCGGCATGAATACACCTGGAACCAGGAAGACACCTTACATTCCAGAAACCCGGACATACCTGTCCATATAAGCAGCAGCCTGTAGCCTGCAGTGCGACTCGCCCAGCCCGGACGTTGTGGACTGTGGGACTTCGCCCAGGCTTGTTTTTTTTCTCCCTAATAAAGCCTGTTTGTTCTAATTCGACTGATTTGGTTTCTGGCACCTCTTGACTACCTTACAGTATCCCCTTCTATGCTAGGAAATTTGGAAATAAATACTTAGCCAGCCAACTAAAGAAATCCTTACTTGTTCCCATTCTAAAGAAAAGATGGCCGAACAGAACACTCAAAGTATAGAACAGCATCACTGATAATAGATGCAAGCAAAATTTTGCTGAAGATCATTCACCAACGGTTGCAGCCATTTAAGTTGACAAGGAGTTAGCTGCCAGAGGTTCGGGCTGAGTTCAGAAGAGGATGTGGAACCAGGGATATAGGTCTTAGCTAAAAGCAGAGAATATTGAATGTCTACTTGTGTTTTACTGATTTAGCAAAGGCATTTTGACTGTGTGAATCATAACAAACTATGGATAGACTTGAGAAGAACAGGAATTCCAGAACACTTTGTTATATTTATGGGACCAGTACATGGATTAAGAGGCAGTTGTGTGAACCAAACAAGGGAATACTGCATGGTTTAAAATCAGCAACAGTGTGCTTCGGGGTTGTATCCTGTCACCATACTGATTCAATCTGGATGCTGAGCAAATAATCAGAGAAGCTGGGTGATATAAAGAATTCTGCATCAGGATTGGAGGAAGGCTTATTAATAGCCAGAGATATGCAGATGACATGACCTTACATGTTGAAAGTGATGAGGACTTGAGGCACATTGCAGCTTTTAGTAAGGATTACAACACAATGTAAAGAAAACAAAAATCCTCCCAACTATACTAATAGGCAGCATCATGATAAATGGAGAAAAGATTGAAGTTGTCAAGGATTTTGTTTTGCTTGGACCCATAATCAGTGCTCATGGAAGCAGCATTCAAGAGATCAAATGTTGCATTACATTGGATAAATCTGCTGCATAAGAGCTCTTTAAAGTGAGTAAAACCAAGAAGGTTACTTTCAGGACTAAGGTGCTCCTGACCCAAGCTGTGATATTTTCGATTGCTTCATATGCATGTGAAAGTTGGACATTGAATAAGGAAGACAGAAGAATTGATGCATTTGAATTATGGTGCTGGTGAAGAATATTCAAAGTACTATGGACTGTCAAAGAATAAACATATGTCTTGGAAGAAGTATAATCAGAATGCTCCTTAGAGGCAAGTATGGTAAGACTTTGGCTTACTTACTTTGGATATGTTATCAGGAGACCAATCCCTAGAGAAGGACATCATGCTTGGTAAAGTAGAAGGGCATGGTTAAAGAGGAAGGTCCTGGACAAGATGGATTGACACAGTGGCTCTGCAGTGATCAGGTCAAACATAGAAAATTTTGAGCATGGTACAGGACCAAGAAGGGCTTAGTTCTGTTGTACGTAGGGTCCCTGTGAGATGGAACTGACTTGAAGGCAGGTAACAACAGCAGCAATCTAGTAATCTTTGAGCTGCTTGTTTGTATATACAAACTTTGTCCATATTTGGGAGCAGATCTTGGTAGATAACACTGAAAAGTATTTTACAGTGGTTATCTTTGAGCAGTGGAGGTAGGTGGGTGGGTGGTAAGGGAGTTTATACCTTTTGTTACATAATTTTGAATTGCCAGTCATTTCTTTAATTGTGT